CCCCCCCCCCCCGCCTTTTTTCTGACTGGAACCTTTGTTTAGCTCTTTCAATCGTTACTTATGTTCACTATATATTAAGCACGACCAGATATATTTCAAGTAGATCATTTTTTTATTCTTCTACACCTATATGTATCCTTAAGATTAATCATTTATATTATGGTGTTATACTGGACTGGCTCTCATTCCTTCATTAGGTTCCAGGGTTGTGGAACTGCTGTCTTGCTTCCCAATAAAAGGAGTGGCAGGGAAGTGCAACCCCTGGCTGCAGTTTACCCCACAGTAAGGCTTAGCCCTTGGAGACAGGTCCTCAAAAATATCCACTCCAGGGTGTGGACCCACGGTCCCACCTGATCTGTACTCCTCCCAGGAGGGTAACATCTCCTGGTTCCCCTTAGTTCCTAGTGATTGGGGGATATGGCCTTACCCCACCACCGCGGTCAAACGTCTAAATCGTTATTTTTGTTTTTTATTGCTGGGATTTCATTCACCAGTTAGAGAAAAATGGGCAAAGATGTATAAATCAGTTAGTCAACATAACTATCTTTCCATTTTTCTCAAAATTTTGAGCTTTTTTCGCTGAAAGCGCTTCCCGCTAAAAGAGAATCATGTTTGAAAATGGCACCGATAATAACGTCAGCATCGCTTTTCAATCACTGAGAACTTTTTTAGTAAACTTTTAAAAAGTTTAGTAAACTAACAGGATGTTGGTAATACCCTAAACTTTTGATAGTGAAAGTAGCAACCTTAACTTTGAAGTATTTCGCTTAACTTTTGCAAATTTCACTCGTTTGACCGCTGTGAACCTTACCCCCGGGGACTGATCACGACTCCTGTCCAGGGTGGCTACCCCCGGTACCTCTTGATCTTGTCTCCCCCCAGGAGGGCTTCTTTCCCAGTCCCCTTACCCCTAGATTCAAGCGCTTGCCTGCCACCAGAATTTTGCCCATTACCTCAGTTTTGTGTGTTTTCTGTGTGGTACCCGACATAGAGCCTTCATGCAAAAACCCTGCCAATTGGAAGAGTTTATTAATAAGACATTATAACAATACCATTATTGAATAGCTACTTAATTATCTGGGAGGCCAGCCTACATCCTAAACCTTTTCGGCAATCCTGTTAACATTATTTGTATACTGTCATCAAGCAAATGCGAACTGTAACACTAATTATATTAAACTAACAGGCAATTCATAAAAATATCAAGTCGTGGCCTTTGATCCTCTAAAACTGAGTTTTTTCATTCTTGGTTCCCTTTTCAACTAAGACTCCCCCACATAATTCAGCTACTGGCTGACACAATTCTAAAAAAAAAATATATTTTTGGACAAATCAAAAAACGGGAGAAATGTTTAACGTAGTTGTCCCATATTGTAGTTGGTAATTGTCCATCTTTTTCCCGTCATGAATGCCTTTAACAGCATAACAGGCATCTGGTAGTGATTAAGAATGAAGAAAGGCCATGGATCACTTGCTTCAAATACTGCATCTCTGCCATTCATCAAGGTGTAAATGAATTCTCCTATTCCCTGCTGAAAAAGGCCAAGTTTGGCAATTTCATTGTATAACCAGTAGACATGTTTTGATGAAGCTGATGGCTCTGATGGCGTTGGTAACTGGAATTGATCTTCCATGGCTCCACGGATGGCTGCTTCAAGATTTGGCTTCATGTGGTAAGAAACCACACATGAGTGAAAACGTGGATTACACTCTATGCAATAAACTTCACCAGAGTCATCTTCTTCAAGGAAGTCAAAGCAAATACCACCAGTGATTTTCTTGGCTTTACAAAACTCTTCCACCCATTTCTTTATCTCTGGATGCTTGGTTACGTCAAAGTCAATTTGCATTGCTGAAGAAGGAGAGACGTGAAAAGCTTGAAGATTTCCTTTGGAAACAATGGCATTGGCAGCAAATTCTTTTCCTTTTATGAACTGGTTAACCAGATATGGACTGCCACAATTAAGCTTTGATTCATAGTGAGCTAAGAACTTCTCAAATTCAGTAGAGTCGCTAGGTATAGGGGTGAAGTTCAATCTGTCTTCTTCAGGGACAGGGAACAGAGGTTTCAAGAAGTAATGTGATTTAAAGTTCAAGAGCAGCTCTTTCTTTGCCACTTCACGGACCTCTGCCAAGCTACATACTTTTTTAAAATAAGGTACCTTCAGGTTTAGCTTGTTGCATTCTTCTAGAAAAAGAGGCTTATCATCAAGAATGGCTGTCAATTTTGGATCATCAAAAATCAGACATTTGATTTGCGGATTCACCTCGGCAAGACGCTGTTTAACTATTGAGTCAGACACGGCTGTTTTCTCATGGCTCACTGGGATGTACCAATCAATCCTCTCTGTCTTTGCAACATTAACCATTCCTTTGATATAAGCCTCATTGCCATCTAGGGAATTTAAATCTGGGACTGTGTAGAACTTTGAAATGAAGCAAGACCATTGTGCAGCAGAACAACCAAATTCTTCTGAGTCAGCCAAAATTACGCGATGACCAGCTTTTCCCAGTGTTTTGGCAATATGTAACCCCTTTGTGTGGGCTAATCCTGACACTAACACAGTTCGTCTAAGAGATGCTTCAAGATAGTCATGCTGTTCAGACTTTCTACCAAACAACCAGACACAAGTGGTGAAGATGAAACAGAGTGGCATTGCTGCTATTAACATCATAATACACAGTGCAGCCTTGACTCTGTACCATTGCTTTCCCAGTAGATTGGACAGTGATTGTAGGGGATTCAAGTTGGTTACTCCAGACATCTTCTATTTTATTTTCCTTGAAATGGTAGAACTTGTTAGAAGATAAAACAATTTATCTGAAACAAAAAACATACTTATCATTAACTATGTTTACACATCTGTCCTTGCTCATTCCCATATTAATATTTGAAAGTTAAGCCCCGTGCAAATGGACGCAACATTGTTGGCCAACAACTCCCAGCATTGTTGGATGTTACATGTTGAGTGTGATTGCACACCCTTTAAAGACGGAATGAGTTTGCGGAATGGCGTGTGGCAGGCTGTGTATAAAAGTGGGACGGGGACGGGTTGCCTAGTCCCTAGGCCTCATTACTATGCACGGCCGATGCGTTTCGGGTCACGTGGTCCGGCCGTTCGTCTCGGATACGTCACCGAAAATGCATTGACCGAGAGGGCCTGGAAAGACGTCGTACAGGGACTAGGCAAGGGGACGGGGACATCGCGACGCGTGTGTGGGGACTTGGGACTTGGGGACGCGAGACGAGGGACTTGACGACATCAAGTTTGGGACGCAGGGACGTGTGGGACGGGGACGCGGGGACGTCAAATACAGGAACGCAGGGGACACGGGATGTGAATAATTATTGCAAAAGTCGGAGGTAAATGCGATATCAGTCACTTTCCTCGTGAATATGTTTTGGTGAAGGCAACCCACCCTGCCCTCCTTAGGGTTCCTCCATGTCTGTTTACGAAGCAAAGACTCGGCGAAGACCCCCTGCATTGAAGAAAGTGAAACCGTTGTCCTCGTCTTCTTGCTGATAGAATATTGGAGCCCAAAGTAGAT